ATTTTCGTCTGAAACGTATCAACGCTGCCAGGTGTCACAAAACGAGTGGACGGCCTTTTTTTTCCTTTGGCCGAGACCCAAAAACCAGAAATATTTTTTCCCAGAACTCGATTCATCTCTCTCGCCGGCGATCCTTCTCCTCTCTTCTTCGTCATCATGATAGATCTGAGCATGGATCATTCCTTGTTTCTCCTGCGTGTTCTCTGGCGATTTCAATCTGTAACAAAAGAGAGATTAATTTCAATCGGAGCTTTTGAGAGATCAACAATGGCGCATCCTCTCATGAAGAAAGACGATGATCATGGCGATGAGTGTATGTCCTCTCTCTCTTCGTTCTCGCCTTGTAATTTAGGATTAGAATGTTCAAAATATCTGGTTTAGGGTTAGAGATAGATCAAAAATGTTAAGCTTTGTAGATCTGTGCGATTGTAGATATCAATACTTTGCGTCCATGCTCCAATCTTTTCAACTGATTCGGTTAGTTAGAGTATCACAAACACCATGAACATCGGCTTAAGATGTATTGATGTTTGGTAGAGACGCTTGTTTGTTGCTAACAATTGTGAAGTTTTTTGGTCACACAAACTTGTCCCTCTTCTTTACAACCAAATTTAGAAAACCTAAGTAGTTGTGCTTTGGATTTAACTTGTCAGTTAGAGAAGAAAACAGAGACACAACATGTGATGGTTGAGACAAATTCATGAGTGTCTAATTAGCTGTAAATTTTTGGTATTTTGTTGGCCAGAGCAGAGAAGGACGATGTTTATTCAAACCAGTCATGGAGGTCGGAAGTGCTGATTTACCTGATGTTCGTTCGGCTTTAGGTTCACCATTAGCCAAGTCCATTTACTCCATTGATGGTATTTTTATCCCTCGTGTAATCTGTTTGTTCGTCTGCTTAATCAAAAGAATGTCTCCTTTTGTATTGTTTGACATGTTGCTCTGTATTGTTTCCCCGATTTGGAGCAATTTGATGATTTGTTGCTCTGTATTGAATCTGTTTGAATTTCATATCTTTGATTGAGATTTGGAAATCGTGATGATGT